GGGTCGCGACCCAGTCTTTGGGAAACAATGGTATAGAGCGTATACTATATGTGTATAGTAAGGGCCATAGTGAAGATTTGAAAAATAAATATTTAAAAAAACATATACATAAACACAAATTTTATTTCCATTTATGGTGGGGGGCGGTGGGGGAATCCTTGGTTAAGCATTGTGCTGCCTCCTGCTGGGTGCACTTACTCCGCAGAGCAGTCACGAATGACTGACGCAGTGCTTATGGGCACTGGCGTCCCATTGGTGCAATATAATTATATTAAAAAAAAATTTAAAAAATTTGATGTCAGTGAATCATAATTAAACCTGTGTCTTGACTGCAGCGAAATGGTAGCAAAAACTTTTCTAATCCGGTTAACTCCGTGAGGACCGTACTCTTAAGATTCCCCGGGAAAGAGGACGTTTGATTTTTTTCCCCGTTGTCTTCACGCGTTTAATTAAGAGCTCATTAGACCGGATCATTAAGGGTCGGAACTTTTCCTCCTGTGAACGAGACTTCAGATTGTTCTTTTGTAACGCGACATGCTGTGAGTCACCACACCGGCAGTAATAACTAGACATCCCGATGAGAATACACAGACATGTCAGAGAAGGGGGGGGCGGGGGGGGAATGTTTCACCGCTGCTGGCGTCTGACGCAGTGAGTGACACATCCCATCAAGGGTGCTGCAGATAATCACTCACGCACCAATTAGGGAACTACACTCAGAATACTCTCAATGGGGAGATTTTTGTGTAGAAAAAAAAACCAACAACAACAACAACAACAACAACAAAAGCAATTAAGTGGAGGCTCAAGTAGAGTTCATTTACATCCTACAGTCAGGTGTCGGTGTTTGGTGGTGTCAATGAGCCCGCTGGTGAGACACATCTGTCGACGCAGCTACTTTCTATTTTAAGGCGGCTTTCAGATCATACACGATACACACCGCTGAGATAAACAAGGCCGACACACTCGCTGCAGAACAACAGACAAAGATCAAAGATGTCACCAGCAGTTTACCTGAGGATCTACCCTGGAGCGTTACACCGGTGTTACTTTGAACAGGAAGTAGTTTACTAGTTACCCGTGTTCACGCGCTGCTTCAAGAAACTTTGTGTTCTTGATACTCCGAAAACCAAGCGTGCTCGTATCTCGAATCTTTACTCGTATCTCGAAGCAAATATTAGCTCGAAAGTGGACGAACAAGTGAAGTGAACGAGTGAGGCGGCGTGGGCTGCTCCGTGTGCTCGGCCACCTAGCGTCGGCGTCTGTAAGCGTGCTCGTATCTCGAATCTTTACTCGTATCTCGAAGCAAATATTAGCTCGAAAGTGGACGAACAAGTGAAGTGAACGAGTGAGGCGGCGTGGGCTGCTCCGTGTGCTCGGCCACCTAGCGTCGGCGTCTGTAAGCGTGCTCGTATCTCGAATCTTTACTCGTATCTCGAAGCAAATATTAGCTCGAAGGCTTGCTCGTATCTCGGAATACTCGTATGTCGGGATGCTAGTATCTCGAGGTTGACCACTTGACATTTAAATGTGCTGAATGTGGCCCGTGACTTTGACACTCCTGCGTACTAAAAAGCCGTATTAAAACCACAAAAAAATAAAGATCAAAGCGTAAGGGGGGGTCGGCATATACGGTGGAACTCGAGATACGAGCAAAAACCGCTCCAGGACCGAGTTCGTAACTCGAGGCGCTCGTGTCTCGAATCATTTTTTTCCCCTCTAAAAAAAACTCCCATATCTCGCGGGAGATGCGTACGGAAGTGGACGAACAAGTGAAGTGAACGAGTGAGGCGGCGTGGGCTGCTCCGTGTGCTCGGCCACCTAGCGTCGGCGTCTGTAAGCGTGCTCGTCTCTCGAATCTTTACTCGTATCTCGAAGCAAATATTAGCTCGAAAGTGGACGAACAAGTGAAGTGAACGAGTGAGGCGGCGTGGGCTGCTCCGTGTGCTCGGCATCCTAGCGTCGGCGTCTGTAAGCGTGCTCGTATCTCGAATCTTTACTCGTATCTCGAAGCAAATATTAGCTCAAAAGTGGACGAACAAGTGAAGTGAACGAGTGAGGCGGCGTGGGCTGCTCCGTGTGCTCCGCCACCTAGCGTCGGCGTCTGTAAGCGTGCTCGTCTCTCGAATCTTTACTCGTATCTCGAAGCAAATATTAGCTCGAAAGTGGACGAACAAGTGAAGTGAACGAGTGAGGCGGCGTGGGCTGCTCCGTGTGCTCGGCCACCTAGCGTCGGGGTCTGTAAGCGTGCTCGTATCTCGAATCTTTACTCGTATCTCGAAGCAAAAATTAGCTCGAAGGCTTGCTCGTATCTTGAAAAAATACTTGTATCTCGAGGTTCCACAGTATGCGCACAAATGCCGCGGACAGCATTTTCCATCGATCGCATCATCGCCGAAAATAAACACCAAGTCGATCGTGTGGTCAAAAGTAGCATTACAATTATAATTATTTTAACTCTACCACTGATATAGTGTGACGCAAAAACACGTCACGTCTATTCTGAATTTCGCAAAACAAACATTGGCGAAATTTTCGCAATTTTAACGTAAACAGTGTTTAGCAAGATCGTTTTCTAATTCTTTGGTGACGCACGCGGCAGGAGTAAGACATTTTAACACTGCAAAAAAAAAAATTATATATGCGAGTTTTTATAAAAATCATCATTTTGGGATCAATTTTCAGGGGTCGGCTAATACGCGAGTATGTACTGTAAAAAACTTAGAGATTGCAGTACGTCTAACATTCATATAAAAGAAAATCCATTCAGTGCCAATGTAGTCATAAAGCCACATTTCGTTGTGAACCAGTGTGTTATCTGAGCTGAGCTACTAATGTAAATGATTATTTCCGACTATTGACGCACGATCAAAGCTGATTCGACTTCATGACATTTAATCTATGTCACACTGGGACCATTATTCTTTTTTTTATTTGATCTCTTCTCCTTCTTTATCTGTTTATGGTTATTCCCTACAGGGGTCGCCACAGTGTATCTTCAGCCTCCATCTCACCCCCCATCCTCCCCCCCCACTCGCTGCCTCCTCCGCTTTCACACCAACAATCTCTAAGTCCTCTTTTATGACATCACAACTTCTTATCCGGAGTCTTCCTCGTTTCCTCCCTGCCTGGCAAAACTTCATCTGTCGCATCCTTTTATCACCATCTCTCCTCAAGACGTCTCCAAAACCATCTCACCACCTTACCTCTCTGACTTCATCTTCCAAACTGCGCCACCTTAACTGGTCCACCTTAACTGCTCATCTATTAAGCCAAATGCATAGAAACACAAGTTCTTGATATTTACTTCAAAACTGTCTTTTAAGATAAAATCGTAATCGTTGTATTGAAGAAAAAAAAAACACTACATTAACTTTTTTTACGAGGAGGAAAAATGCACGTAGCTCGCATGTTTGGTGCATTTTGAATTGCTTTAAAAAGAATTATTTGGCCCAAAAAGCATGTAAAAGCTACTCTCTTTGTACTTCGTGCGTGCCTTTGAAAGCAGTTTACATTTAACTCCGTTTCATGATGGCTTAAAACGGCATTGAATGACGCAAACTGAACTGATTTTAAGCTGCACCTTGGCAACAACACATTTTTTTTTTTTTTAAATAGTGGCGCGTCTGTCATTGAAAATCCCTTTTTTTTTTTTTTTGGAAATATCTGTAGTCAACACATTTGGTGGCTTAAAAAAAAAAAGAAAAGAAATGTCAGTGCTTACGATGAACTGCTCCACATCCCTCTCCATGCCCACATTGGGAAGGTCCGGCATCATGTGGGCGACCACTTTGAAACCGGCGTCCTTTGCCAGGTGGAAGGACTCGCACACGGCTCGCACCGTGTGGCCTCTGGAAGATATACGAGCGGTATGAAAGTCAGAAGGGGAAAAAAAAAAACCACCATCAAAGCAGCTTTCTGCTTCTCATCTTTAAACCGCTTCAATCATTCATTTGTTCCTCCCTGACCTGTTTGTGTCACGGGCCACGTCCTCGTACACACTCTGGACGCCTATCTCCAGCCGCGTGCAGCCGTAACTCAGCATATCACTGAGGTGTCTCTTCAGGCAGTAGTCTGGCCGCGTCTCGATAGTGATTCCCACGCACTTGGTGTTACTGCGCTCCGAGTACCTGCAGGAGAGAAACCCATCCCGGGAACGTCAGGCTTTACATTATATCACATAACCTCCTGTAGACATTATATGTTTTTTTTTATAATTAGACTATTTAGTCGGAGCTCCGAGACACAAAGCGCCGGAGGGCTCCGCACGCTGGGATCATTTAACAACATCAATATAGGCGCTGAAAGCTGCGCGCCTCATTATCCAGATAGTCGACGCTGTCGTCACATTAAAGACACACTGGAGCGATGAAGGAAACAGTTGCCGGCAAAGTGTTTGTCATGCAAAATATCACTTAATGAATCATTACTGACTGTTTACTTTGTGCCAAAGGGAAGTTAAGGACCGGGATTATTCACTTCTTTATGAGTCATGACAGTGAGAGAATGTCGCCCATGAGATGGAAACATTTGATGTTTTTATTTAATGTTTAACGTCGACGTCTCGCTAATAGATACTTATCTATAAGCACTGCGGGACTCATTTCTCAACTACGTCAGATACTTGATCAATACTAATACGTCTGTTTTAATAAAGTGAGCCGGAACACCTGCGATTGAAGCTTGAACTCTGCTGGAATTTAAGTAAAAAAATTCACAACTTTACACACAACCTTAAAACACGTCTGAAGACTTCAGACATCTGCTGATAGATTTCTTCAAGTCAGTGATCATCAACCGGCGGTCCGCGGGCCAGATCTGGCTCAACAAGCCGTCCAATGTTGCCAGCGACTGGATTCCAAAATCGTGAGGTCAAATAGAAAACATCACATGCTTTAAAGCATTGTTTACCAACGATTGGGTCGCGACCCTCGGGTGGGTCGCAAGAGCTTTTTTTGGGGTCATCAGTTCCTCAAAATGCAAGTTTAAAAGCTCCACCTGTGGTTATGTGTAAAACTTTGTTAGTTAGTAATACTAATTGCTCAGATATCACTCAGTTAACAATAAAATATGCTCATGAATGTTTAAGGTCAAGTACACCTTTATTTTGCGATTTACGAATAATTTCTATTAACTTGGGTCACGAAGGTTTGTGACTTTTAAAATATGGGTCCCCAGAAAAAAAAGTTTTGGGAAACACTGCTTTTAAGGATTAAAAATTTCTTTAGCTTTGTTATAATATTTTTTTTAAATATACATCAAATAGTAATGTTATATAAAATTGTAATTTTAATTTTATTTAATTTCATTTGGGTATCCGGCCATATTTGCCTTTTTACTTGTTTTGACTCGCCTGTTTGACAATGTTAAAAATAATTTATATATATATATATTCTTAGAAGAAATACAGAAACGTTCTGTACATGTTTGTGGCTATTGCACACATCTATGTTTTAGTCACACAACATCTAAACCAGGCATGATATAATTTATTTACATTATCATTATACTTCTGCCTTTCCCCTGCAATACCCATGTTTCTCCAATAGATGGCGTAGAAAATGCTAAATTCTTTTTTAGCATTTTAGCCTTTATGCATGACTTTGACGTCATTTAGCTTAGTACACACAAACGCTCAATCCATCTGCTTCTGACCCGGCCCCCCTGTCAAATTCTAGAGCAGACATGGGCAAACTAAGGCCCGGGGGCCGGAGGCGGCCCGTTCAGCTTTTTAATCCGGCCCGCCAAACTTTTCAAAATTATATAATTTATTTACATTATCATTATACTTCTGCCTTTCCCCTGCAATACCCATGTTTCTCCAATAGATGGCGTAGAACATGCTAAATTCTTTTTTAGCATTTTAGCCTTTATGCATGACTTTTACGTGATTTGGCTTAGTTCACACGAACGCTCCATCAATCTTTGGACCACAATGTGGCCCGCGAGTCAAAAAGTTCACCCACGCCCGATCTAAACAAAATGTTTTCTCCTTTTTGCCCTTAGAGACGAGTTAGAACAGCAGCAGAGATGATAAACGAGCACGACACGAGCAGGTGCATAGCATTTTAGCTGTTTTTTTTTTTTTTAAATACAACCTTTGTTTTTTTAAACAAAAAAAAAAAACACAAAAAAAGAAAAACGATCTTGCGACATTGAAGAAGAAGAAGAAGGAATCCTAAATTCATCCGTCAAATGGATAAGCTTTGAAAAGAAAAAAGGTCTTGCCCCAGACCATGACAAATTCCATGGAAATTAGCCGAATGCTTTTTTGAATAAATCTGCCGGGAGACGTCTCCGGTACGTGACCTTTCTTCGCGAAGGTTGTAATGTGTGGAGACAGACGTAGGAACAGAGGTGCCGCACTTCACTGCTTTACCTTTATTAGAACCTCAAGACTGTCATTTTCATCTGGCCCCCGAAAGCCCCGACTCCTGTGTTAATTCTAACCCTTATTTTGGTTGATGATTGAAATCTCAGAAACGGCACACAATTGCCCCAAATCTCCCATCATCCTGGCCAGCTGTGATTTTCTCCACTCCAGCTGCTTCAATGACCATTAGCTCTCCTCATGCCGCCTCATGTTCCCGCCGATCCTGTATGTGCTGGCAATAAATGTCTATCTTTTACAGTCTGCTGGTTGATTTATACCAATTACAGGAGTTTATGCTCCAGAGAGAATGATCAGATTGTATGAGATGAATCAATAAAAAGTCTATTATCTTTGGTGATTATCTGGTGGTATCTTGCTGATGTGATCAGATCAGACGCTGGCTGAGCCTGATGAGAGGCAAGGCACGAACGCCCATCACAGATATGGCGCGCACACACACTGAACGACACACACAGAGTGAAAAGAATTAAGAGCCGTTCCTGTCCAAACCGACTGCCTACTCCTGTTTTGACACAGCAAACACCGACAGAATTGCTATAATCATAGCATCTTAATGAGGAACGCTAATAGCATAGCAGCGAGATTAGTTTCTCCATTTCCTTAAAAAAAAAAAAAAAAAAAAAAAATCAGTTTTAACTGTGTTCTTTTCAAGCAACCCACTTAGGAAACACACACATTAAGTAAAAAAAAAATGAGGCTAAATAAACGCTTTCTTATAAAGTTTACGGTGCAGCGGGAACACGAAAGCACACACTCTGGCCTTTCATTTCTTATTGGACATCGGGGAAGTAAATAGCTATTACTGAAAAAAAAAAAAAAAAAAAAAACAGGCTCGTTCCTGTGAAAAAGCCATTATTTGCTCCAATCATCTGTATGACGTTTTCACCAAATGGGCATTTCTACTCTGACTTTGACTCTTCTCCAAGTCATCTACAAAAGTCGCGTCTCATCCATACTGAGCAGATGTTCGGCCACTTCCTGGAAAGCTAGTCCTTTAGTCTCAGTGATCAGTAAAAACTAACTCTGTCAACAAACCTGGGAAATTACACTCACTTTCTGTGAAGAAATGAAAAGATACGGACACTTTCACATTACCTCGCATTAGCGATCGCTAACTATTTTGTCGGAGGGACAAACACCTTGGTGGTTGGAGCGTCAAATGTAATGAAATAAAAATCACGTTTTTGTCTAACATTATTATTTGAGGTTTATTTTGGAATCCAGTCAAAGGGGCCTGATTGGACGCTTCAGCGGGCCTGATTTGGCCCACTGACCACCACTTGATGATTACTGATCTAAGTAACTCCAAAGGGTCTCTGGTTCAATACCACCTGACTATAAGGACTATGGGTTAGTTAACGAAATCTAAATCTATGTCTGAGTGCAGGTGTGAATCGGTGTTTATGTTTATTTGATTAGTTTTAAAATATAAACAAAAAAAGATTAAGATTTTTTTAGTTAAGGAAGCACGGTTTTCAAGCTTGTATATTTAGGTTTAACAGGTCTTTTAAGGTAATTCTACTAAGTCTTTGTAAAGACGACTGTGAATATTATCCTTAAAATAGTAGTATAGCTCCCTCTAGTGGGGACTGTGGTTAATGTCGCTCGAATAAAAAATGTGTTAAAATGTAAAGCAAATACAAATGATAATCTGAGATTACGTTTTCCCAGGAGCAGCATCAACATGATAAATACAGAAATATTAAATATATATATATATTTATCAAGTCTATCCAGTTTTTATTATTTATTATTTTATGTTTTTCATATTTAAAGGATGGCAAGAAGACATAAAACGACACAGGTCATTGAGTCACTTGGTACCTGACAGCCTCGGCCACATTGTTTGAGGCGTGTCCCGACAGGGCGTCGTGCAGGTTTCTAATGAAGTAGTCCCTGTAGTCCTCGGGCAGAGCCATGAAAGTCCCACCCATTACGATGAACTCCACTTTGTCAACACTGTGGCCCAGCTGCTTCAGCTGCGCACAGCACACGAAGCAAGAAACGACAAAAGTTATAACGTACAATACTGAAACTGAATTAAATTCTCCGAAAAATAAGACTGAGAAATTAGCTGCCAATTTATAAAGAAATCACTTTTCAAGTGGACACACCGACCTGCTCTACTCTGTGCCTTGTCTGGAGGTATGGGTCGTACCGAGCACGGATGGCTCTCATTGATGTTGGCTGTCAGGAAAAAAGAAAAGTATGACAGTACGGTGTTACATGTGACATTCTTAAAGGGAAAACCACCAAACAAAACGACTTTTATGTCAAATTAATTAAACATCGGGTGTAAAAAAACTATTCATGTAAATATCACATTTATTTTGAATGATATTAAGATAAACATCCATATAATAATATTGTTTAATACAAATATATATATATATAGTGTGTTTGGTAACTGACTTACTTCATAACCAGTGTAAGACTGTGTCGAATACTCAAAGTCAGAATCCGGTCCACCAGGACAATAACTGTCAAAGAAGAGACATTGATAACAAGAGTTAAGATCAAATCTTTAGAACAATTTAAAGTAAATGTTGACATCACATCATGTCTGTTGTTAAAGGTGTCCAAATTAAATATTAAAATATTGTATTTTATCTAGAAAATAACACCATAAATATACATACACACAGATGTTCCCTGTGAAGCTGATGTGTGGACATCGATGTGGCTTGCACATTACAGCAACCACTGCAATCTGCAAGAAGGGAAGGAAGATAAATCCACTATGACTGTAACAGAGGTAACTGAGTTACTAGATATTTACAAATTAGATTAGATTAGATTATTGCTGTTGTAGTCCTACAGAACGTTGTGATTGATTGTTAAAGAGATGAGCGTCTTACCCCGCTAGCAGTGCGGATGGGTTTGGCCTTGAGTTTGGGTACCAGCACACGACGGTACTGTGGTGGAACAGCTGCGATGATGTCCACCAACCGGGGCTGAGCTTCAAGTCCGTATTTGGCTGATGTCTTGGTTTTGACTCTGTTTGACAAGAAATACACTGAATGTTTCTCGTCAATATCAGAAAGAGACCGTCTATCAGAATAGACCGTCTACAAAGTAACAGAAGTAACAGTAACAGAAATGTGTTACTTAAAGTGAGATACGGTTGTAAATGAGTGCTTACTTGTTGAGATTGATGTCCTTGCCTTCTTCGTGGGCTTCAACAAGCTGCTTGATGACGTCAGCAATTGTCATCATCATCAGCTCAGCTCGACTGAGGTCACCTGACACATCAATAATGTTTAGAACTGGAATACCGATTATAATAGTAACCAATATGTTTACTAGTCAATAATATCTTTTTTTTTTTTAAAGTTAATCTTTTTTTATACACTTGTGTCTCCGCTTGTCCACAATCAGAAACTAATTTTCTTTGGTTTGTGCACATGACCACAACATTAAGAACCTCATTATTAAGTCTAACACACTCAATGACATTTTCAAATTTCCAATAGATGGAACAAATAATTTTAAATCCTTCGGTTATATCTTAGCTTCAGGTCTACTTCACAGTCAAATCTATAAACGTGACTTAAACAAGTCAAATGTTGTTTTAAACACTGGAGAACTTTTTGCAACACAATTAAGTTTTAGGGTGTAATAATTGTGGCAAAACATGTTTTTGTTTCATCGGAAGTGTTGAGTACTGTTAAAATACATTTATGCCATCGAGAGGTTTTAAAACAGGGTAAAAGAAAACATAGTGTTAGCATTAGCACATGCTAGAGCCACATTGAGCCACTGCTAAAAACATTTAAAAAACAATAAAAAACGTTGTCACAAACTCACTTTTTTTCTTTGGTTTCCCCATCTCTTCTTTTTTATAATGAGTCCGGTTTAATATCAGTAGCTATAGATTATATACCTAACATTCACTTAATAAACCGAGGGTGCTGTCAAAGATAGTAAACAAGTCCACGTTGCGTCAGAACACGGCTTCTGCCACCAAGCGCCAATAACTGTCGCAAAGTGGCGTGGAGCGCTTTTTACCCGTCTGAACTCCATTTGAATTGGGTTGTTTTTTTTAATAATAAACGTAAACATTATGACACTACCACAGCATTTACCCTGTTGCATCACAGTAGCACATGTTAAAGTCTACTGAACAAAATGTGTCTCACACAGATTTGTTATTACTTAAAAAAAAGCACAGAGTTGTAATGCACTCGGTGTCACAGAGTGGCGCTGAGATCGCCTTAAACCAGTCGTACAAGTGTGGAGAACAGAGCGCCACCGGGGAAACCAGGGCTCAGCTGCAGCAAATCCCTTTAGCTACCATTTGACATGGCTTGACTGACTGTGCTCTGTGGGAAGTTTCAGGAAATGCAACAGGTGGACGAGTCGATGCAGCAGTGGAACGGGGAACTGCCGTGAGTGTTGTGACATGTGACATTTTATATAACAACGACACTGAGTAATGATATTAAATTAACCAGCAGCCATTGTAAATGTATTATAAAAGTACTCGGCGTTTGCTTCGCTTATCCAGCTTTCTTTAGCTTCCAAAGCTAACAGTCGCTGCTGCAATTCCCGTGTTCTTCAAGGTACCTCAAGGAACAACTGCGCACTTTTTTGGTAAGGTCAGTGTTCACCAAGAACGTAACTTTTGTAACTTATTAGCACTTATTCGTTTATTTTTTCTACTTCTTTCTCACTTCGTATCTTATCTTGTTTTTTTTTCAATATCACTCAGGTGAGTGTTTTGAACTTTGTTGTAACGTAAGCAAGGAAGCTGGTGGATGTGTCAGGTGAAACTAAATTATGACTATATCTGTACTTTTAGACAAATCGTCAGTTGTTCGCACCTACTAGTCCATTATATACAACAAAATATTCTCAGACTTCTTATTTTCAAAATGATCTTTGTTGTAAAGTATTCACGTCATACGTCATATTTACAGTACCACAAGTACATGTACAATTAGAAAAACAAGGTTGCATGTCAAATACAATTTTGGACCAACTTTACTTAAAATGTTATACACAAATCTGGCAACTTTAAGCGAATCAATGGCTCGTGTTTTAACCTCCCTCTCCTGCAGGTGGTGCTATAAATGCTGCTCTGTTGCTACAACATTGTCAAATAACTAGAGAATTCTATTTGAGAATTTATATTCTTTATTATAAATATTAAAACCATATCAAAGAAGAAGGAAAGGGAAGGCAGAAAAGGGAAGTACTTTTGTAGAATTTTATAATATAAGCGTTAGAAATGACTTTCAAACTCGACCATAAAAGTTGTTTTTGTAAACAGAGTTACAACCGTTTCCAGTCATTGTTTATGTTCTGCAGGTGAAGTAACATCATGGAGGACAACAGCTTCAGTGACACTAATGTGAAGGTTGCTGTTCGTGTGCGGCCAATGAACAGGAGAGGTCAGTTCAGTCCAGTAATATCAATACATTTATTTCGTTGGTGCTGGTTTTTTTGTAGGTTTTGGCTATTTTTATGTTTTATTTTAGGTGAGTTTTACTCAGCTTGTCTGGTCATGTTAAAGTTTATAGTGTAAATTATCACACACAAAACAGAAGGACGTTTCATTGCTGGTTTGATCAAACAGATGGCAGCAGTCAATAAAGCAATTATGTTTTTGGCTAGCCCGCAGCTTAATACCAGTAAAAGCTTTCTCCCTCTGGGATTTCTTAAAGTTTTTTTACAAAAGAATGACGCACGTGGCGTCTCTCCTGGTGTGATTGGACTGTTTAGTGCTGACCTCATATTTACTGCCTCTCTTTGTGAGTGCAAATATGGAGAGGCAAGTGTGAACCTGCTTTTTTTTTTGCTCAACCACGGGCTGTATGAATCATCATCAATAAAAGTATTTACTAGGTGGAAAAGAAATAAACGCACGTAGACTAACTGACTGACTATCTGTTGCTCTGCACTCTATAGTGGACTGCTTGTGTATTTATATTTTTGTCACTGGTTATTATTGTCTCTAATAACTCACCGCATTTAATACAATACAATACAATAAACACATTTTATTTGAACTCTATTTATATTCCTGAAAGTCAAAGAATAATTCAGAATTTTCCTTTATTTACACTGTGTCACAACAGACGCAACGCTTCGACAAACACGTGACGAGACGTCACGCGCGTTGTTTACCGTACTTAGTGAACGTTATCTGCAGTCGTCATCGCTCTGAAGTAAAAAGAAAGTTTATAAAAAAAATAAAATGACTTTTTAAAATGGAAATATTTATTCCCTGCTTCCCCCGTTTTGACACAGAAAAAGAACTAAAGTCAAAATGTGTGGTGGAGATGGAGGGGAACCAGACAGTTCTGCATCCTGCCAACAACAACATGAACAAAGGAGATCCTCGGTAAGACTCATTTATTAACATGCCAATGTTTTTTTTATCATGATTATGATTTTCATTTGACATTTAAATCGTCACATCTATGAGAATGAATGGTACTCTAAATAAACCAAACTTCATTTTTTAAATCATTATTTAAATTTTTTCAAGTCTTTTGTCATTCTTTAGATTTTTTTTTTTATCGTTTTGTCTTAATAATATTAGAATTATAGGAGTAGTGCAGGTGAAATTTTTTTTTCATATTTTAACTAATATACCAATTTAATTTAATTTTTTAGATTGGTAATGTGGTAAAAATGTGGTAGAACCGCCAAGAAACAAGTGCTGGATCTTTTTTTTTTTTTTCTTTTGTTTTTTAATTATTAAGAGTTTACACTACACTCTACTTAATTTCCCCCAGGAAATAAATCCTTCTGCTGGCAGATGACTTTGCACATGTTTGTACTAGTTAGCAGAAAGCTGCTTGAAAGGCTCTGGGCTCCAACCTCACCCGACCTCCTCCTTTGACTCCTCTCCATTCTTTCATGTCCCTCACCGTTCTCCCATCGTTCCTCTCTTTACAAAGGGTGTGCCTGTTCCAGCTCAGTCCTGCTCGGAGCAGACAACAAACATCTCGGGTTAGGAATTTTATTCCTAGTCTGACATATTTCGTCTGTGCAGTTGTTTTAGATGAACGGACGGATCGGTAATTGTTTCCTCTCTGCTCCGACATGCTTCAGTTGTGCCGCGTTTTCTTTCTTTTTTTCCTCCCCCCGGTGGAGCTCAAAATGAACAGGTTTTACAAGCTTTTTGGCAACATTGACATGAGCTTTTAGTAACTACCGTGTTGTCATCTCATATGTGAGGACGATCTGAATTCACCTGAAATTCCATTATATGAAGTACATAGTTTCCACTGTACGTCCTGATCACAGTGGTTTCCCAGTAGACTGTTGTCCATTAAGTGCTCAAACAAGCTTTGTTTGTCGAGGAAGTCACTGACCAACCCGGGGCTTCACACATTCTGCTTAAGTCAGCCTACCGCCTGACAGGTTTCACTGAATTGCTGAACTGAGCCTGGAGGAGGAGGAGGAGGAAGAGGAGGAGGAGGAGGAGGAGGAGGAGGAAGAAGGGGGGGTTGTTAATATACTCCGGCGCTCCTGGTACCTGCGAACAGAGCTACAGCGGGGGCTGTCAGACCCGGAGTGCTGCAGATTAATGAACCATTGTTAGCTGCTTCCCAAACCTGAAAGTTCAACAATAGCTGGCGAAGCTCCATCACTTCTAGTTAACACCAGATTTCATTAATTCCGTGCAATTGCACCGAACTCAAACTGCAAGGGATTTGTGTCGCTTGATTAATCTGTTTGTGGCTGCAAGAGAGTAAAAAAAAAAATGTCATGTAGTAAATCGTACCTAAAGTACATGTTATTTACAGCCAGGATGGATTAGTGTTTTTTTTTTTTTTTCGACCCCTAAAATGTGGGATTCCATTTGAGTTTTGTAAGGGCACCGACTCTCTGACCAGCCACCCTCCCTCCCAGGGTGACTCCTCGGCGCTATGCGGCTCTGCCAGTTATCTCAGGAATGTCCTTGCCAGTGGAGAAGTGGACAGGACTTAATGTTGCTCTTTCATGCTGCGGCCAAGTCTCTCATAGGGAGGCCTTGTTTTAAAACAGCCCCATAACGTGTTTGTGTGTTCGTGTTAGTGCGTGTGGCCAAAAAAAAAAACTAAATTTATCCTCTGTTTAAACCGAACCGACTTTTATACCTGAGCAAGCAACACCTTTTAAAATTATATATGGGTTCAGGGTACAGAAATGATGCTCTTTGTCTTTAGCATTCTATCTCTGTTTCCTTCTATTTCTGTATCTCTTTCTCTTTGTTTTTTTTTTTAAATCATCAGTTGAGAAAAGCAACATTAGCTAGCTTTGTCTTCGTTATACTTTTTCTTCAGTGCAGTGGGTAGGTAGGTTTATTAGCTAGGTTTATTTTTTACTATATATATGTATGTATATATGTGCATATATATATGAATGTATATACAGTATATATGCATATATATGTATGTATGTGCATATATTTGAATGTATGTGCATATGTATATATGTGTGTATATATACAGTATATAATGCATATATATGTATATATGTGCATATATATGTATAAATGTGTATATACTGTATGTGTATATGTATGCACATACATGTGGTTGTCCATATTATGGATTTAAATATTAGATTTAAATATTTCATAATAATGAATGAAGTTGTGTAACCTACTAATATGTGTATATATGAATATATGCATATATATGTATATGTATATATGTGTATATATGTGCATATATATATATGTATGTGTGTAAATGTAAATGTGTATATACTGTATTTGTATATGTGTGTATATATGTGTATGTGTGTGTATATATATACACACACACATACACGTGATATATTAGATTTAAATATTTTATAGTAATGAAGTTGTGAAACCTACTAAAACATGTGTCTCGTGACGTCATAGACGACTACTGTAGCAGTCATGTTCAAAGGCATTTACCCAAAGGTCAGCGAGGGGCTTCACAGGTCGTCCTCGGGGGGACAATGTGGTAATAAAAAAAGTAAAGAACTAAAATGTTTCTCTCTAAAGTCAGCATCTCTCTCACTTGGACGTGGTCCAGCTCTGAATTTGTGGACCTGAGTAAAAGTAAAGTGAGTCTTTTGCTGATTTAGTACTTTAGTGTTTTCATGGTAATTTACAGCATTCAGCAAAATTTACTTTGCATTGTTCGGGATCCAAAGGAGTACATCTCAGCTCGGTGTCAGCGTTGTTATTAAATGATGAATATTTTTACACGCTGTTGTAAATGTACTCGCATCCAAAACAGCTGAGTTAGTAGGTTTACCGAAACACACACACACGCAGGATTAAAGTGTCGTTTGTCCCCCCCTCTGTGTCCCCAGGAATCAACCAAAGGTGAGCATCAAAACAATCCTGGACTTCGTTGACTTCCTGGTAAATACTGGCGTGTCTCTGTGTGTTGCTGCGGACGGTTGTTATCAGACGTTTCCGTCATTCTCAGGTCTTTGCCTACGACTACTGTTTCTGGTCCATGGACGAATCTCAGGGAGACAAGTTTGCTGGTTAGTACATTGTGTCTTCTGCTGGGCCTCTTCGTGCAACACTCACTGTTTTTAGATCCTGTGTAACTCTGCTGCTCCGTGAGTCATTTTTCAAACTTATCTCCTGACAGAGTGCTTGCGTTGATATTCAAAACTATTTATGGTGAGAGCGTAGAAGACCGGAAATGAGTTACACAGCAGTTGTGTATATATATACACATATATACAAATATGTATACATATATACACATATATACAAATATGTATACATATATACACATATATGTATACATATATGTACACATATATTGACACGAACATATATTGACACATATATACATATATGTATACATATATTGACACGAACATATATTGTCACATATATACACTTATGTATATATCTACATATATACATATGTATCTATATATATATAGATACATATATACACATATATACACAGAGACCCAAGGATTTTGAGTTAATGTAACTGCTGTCACATATATAAATAAATAAATATATATATATAGAGAGAGATGTACATATATACACATATATACATATATATATGTATATATATTTATTTTAAAAATATACACACATATATACACACATACATGTATTTGAGGTTCTGAATATATATACCAGCCAATGTAGGCAGTCTTGAATGTAAATAATAGTCGCATTCCTAGTGTCTGTTCCACACACACAACACGTCGTACTAATTGTTGACAGTTGAAACTCGTCACAGTCTGAACACGGGAGTTCATCAACTCCTTGCCGCTCTGTGTGCAGGTCAGGACGTCATGTTCCAGTGCCTTGGAGAAAGCCTGCTGGACAACGCCTTCATGGGTTACAACGCCTGCATCTTCGCCTATGGGCAAACGGGTAACAGTTTAAGGTTTCTCTGTATAACACGTTTCTTATTGTCGTATTCCATATTTAAGGATTTTTTTTTTTTTTGCATTTGATATATTTGAATCACGTATACTTGTAGGAACAAGCAGTATTACCCTTACCTGTGTTTCTCCAGGCTCGGGAAAGTCCTACACCATGATGGGCTCGGCGGAGCAGCCCGGTATAATCCCTCGTTTGTGCAGCTCCCTGTTCGGCCGGACTGAGCGGGAAACCCGAGAGGGAGAAGGCTTCACTGTTGAAGTCTCTTTCATGGAGATTTACAATGAGAAGGTCAGAGACCTGCTCGATCCTAAAGGGTGAGGACAATTTTTTTTTTTTTTAACTTCATCATTCCCGTATATTTCAAATCTCTAGACCAGTTCCAATGATATGATGTACTCTCCCTCCGCAGTAGTAGTCAAGCACTCAGAGTGAGAGAGCACAAAGTCCTGGGGCCTTATGTCGACGGCCTCTCCCACCTGGCCGTGACCAGCTATAAGGTAGAGTTTTATTGGAAAACCTTGCTGGACTTCATCTCATGTCTTTCATTACACTGTGCTGCCGACAGTAGGACGGTTGCCGTAGAGGAATTAACAAGAAGTGGACGTGTTTGTTTGCTGCGTCTGTCTCCGACAGGACATCGAGTCCCTGATGTCAGAGGGAAACAAGTCTCGCACAGTCGCGGCGACGAACATGAACGAGGAAAGCAGCCGATCGCACGCGGTGTTTAACATCATCCTCACGCACACCCTCATGGATGTGAAGTCTGCGGTACGAAACACACACACACACACACACAGAGATTACGAACTACTACGAACTGATACCGAAACATCAGCTACATTATTACGTAATCAAGCTAACGTTAAGCCCTAATTGTGATTGCATAGTATTTGAAATGACGGTCAAACGTCCCTTTTTCATTTCACGTTCATCATTTAACGCCTCATTGAAGCTGCTTCCAAAGTATATTTTTAATTTTTTTTTTTAAGTGAACCCGAATGTCACGTCAATTTGGTTTGTTTTTGTATCCACTCAGACCACCGGGGAACGAGTGAGTAAGCTGAACCTGGTGGATTTGGCAGGTAGCGAACGGGCTGCGAAGACCGGTGCAGCAGGAGAAAGACTGAAGGAAGGGAGCAACATCAACAAGTAAGTCTAGAAGACACGTACCAAGATGAAACCGCGACAGCGCTTCTCGGGGAAACACAAACCTACGGGGTGTGTTTGTGCAGAGCAGATGCCCGGGGCTGTATTTCAATGCCATGTGTGTGAACCACGCCTAAAGAAACTGACCTGATTTAACCAGAGCTCTTCCATCAGGATGTCCTACAGGACATTCTGACAGACATGTAAAGCTAAAGGCTAAATGTCAATTACGGCTACAGTTTAGCTTGATCCAAAAATCACTGAAGTTGAATATTTCAAGCTGCTAGCATTTAGCAGAAATGTACCATATATTTCAGGTTTTATTTTATTAGTGACATCATGTTAGTCCACTCATTTATTGATTTTGGCCCATTGTTTTCAATTAGTCTGATCGATTCTCGTAACATCCTTCATCTCATTGGCTCGTCCTCATGACATCATTAACAAATGTTTTTTTTTTTTTTTTACTGTATCCCTGTTTGCTTTTTCTATACGATGACTCATAGTCCGTTGTATTTTTTTTTTTTTTGGCGTTGTTCTGAGTCATTATCCAAACCCTGCCCCCACTCCTTACTGCCCCCCCCTCCCCCCTCTTGTCTCCAGGTCTCTAAGCACTCTTGGTTTGGTTATCTCTGCCTTGGCCGACCAGGGAGCGGGGAAGAACAAGAGCAAGTTTGTTCCCTACAGAGACTCTACGCTCACCTGGCTGCTCAAGGTATGCAGAGAGAGAGACACAGAGAGAGAGAGAGAGAGAGACAGAAAGAATTTCCCTCCAACTTCAGCGAGCGTGTCTGACATGACTTTTGCCCCACTGAAATCTTAAAGAAGTAAATATAAAAAAAATTCAGAAATGAAAATATAAAAGTTAGCTTACTTTCAAGTTAATGTTTACTTTTACATACAATGTCTATAATGTTTAACTGGACCCGTTAAAAAATAAGATAAGACAATAAAGGAAAAGAAAGGAAAGAAGAAAAACTAAAAGCAAGCTTTGAAAACATCAGGCTCAGAGCAAAAATCACTGAATCCCAACTGGAGAAAAACAAACAAACAAACAAATATTTCATGTCCGAAAAGTAAAATCACTGAATCCCAACTGGAGAAAAACAAACAAACAAACAAATATTTCATGTCTGAAAAGTAGCTGGAAGGAAGAGGGAGGAACTGATATGTAAATATAATTTTTTTTTTAATATCAAGCACTAAAAAACGTTCAGATCATAAAGTTAATTAATACAATATACTTAAATAATACATATTTTTAAAATAAATACATTATTATTATTGTTTTTTTTTTCACTATTGATTTCAAGCTGTGTTGGTTTGGATTAATTTATTTCTTTTTAAATATACAATTTGAATATTATTTCACTCAAAAAAATTGAAATTTCTTCACTGTACATGTTTTGATCGATTTCGTTTTTTTGTCTTAATTTCTTTCATTTTTTTTTTGTTGTTGTTTTTATTCCTGCAGGACAGTCTCGGAGGCAACAGCCGCACCGCCATGGTGGCCACCATCAGCCCCGCGGCGGACAATTACGACGAAACCCTCTCCACGCTGCGTTACGCCGACAGGGCCAAGAACATCGTGAACCACGCCGTGGTCAACGAAGACCCAAATGCCAGAATCATCCGGGAGCTGCGGGAAGAAGTGGAGAAACTGAAGGAGCAGCTTTCAGAGGCCGAGGTAGACATCGCTACGGGTCATATGACGCTGTACCACCAGCAGAGCTCAAAGATTTCTGTCTTTTTTTTTTTTTATTTTTTTCTTTG